TAACCAGAAGGCTGGCAGTTCAAACCCACCAGCCATTCCTCAGAAGGAAGGTTGGGCAATCTACTTCTGTAGTGATACCACCTCAGAAACCCAAGAAGGGGTCTCTTATGAGTCACGGTGACTCGATGGCACATAAAACTACAACAACAACAGAAATTTAAATTTCAGCTCAAGACATAATTTTTGAAAAACCAAACACATATACAAAGTGCACATAGTAAGCAGTTATAGTATATAGTTATATAGAATATAGTTACAGTAAAGTCAGCTATATGGCCTGACAACAATGTATAGCAATTAAGAAAAACTGTCCAGTATTCCTGGGCTATTAAATATACCCATTTTATTTCCTTAAACTATAGGTCCTCATAGAGAATCACTATAAATCCTTAATTTTTCATTGATTTATGTCAAAAAGGAATTTAAGGGCACAAGGAAGGGGTGGTCATGGGGAAGAGAGTTTTGTTTTGTTTTTTTCTTCTTTTTTATTGTGATTTGGGTGAAAGTTCACAGAGCAAGTTCACTTTCCATACAACAGCTCATACACTTTGTCTCATGACACTGACTACAATATACCACAATGCAACAGCTCTCCTCCCACGTCCTCCCCACAGTTACCTCTTCCCTGTGTCCTTCCCCTCCATGCACTCCTGCCCCCTGAGCTATCTCCCTGTGCATACACAACCCTTCTTTCTCCCATGAGGTGATCTCTCCAAGGAGTGTATCTACCTCATGTAAATGTTCAGCTCATATGTCTGTCTTTTTATTTGGCTGGAAGCCACAAAAGTGAGTTCAATTCCAGACCTGAAGGGCAGCTAGGGGCCACAGTATCAGTGGTTCCATCAGGCTCCATCAGACCAGCAAACCTGGCCCACCTTTTTTTGTGGGGGGAGGAAGGGAGAGTTTTTTATGGTTGGGGTTGGTAATGGGGACAAGAAATCAGATGTGCGTGAACTGTTGAATGTAAAACAAGTTTGCTTTGTAAATCTGCACCCAAAGCACAATTTAACTTAAAAATTTTTTAAAGCAAACATTCTGAATAAAATTACATTCAGAAAACAAACTGTCTCAATAGATATAACTTCTAAACATTTGTTGACTCAAACAAAAGCAAGTTTCAAAAAACAGAATGGGGCAATGCTGTTCATGTAAGTTCCACACAATACCTCAGTAAATTATAAACACTATTTTAATATGAATACAGGCTGTGTTCACTTGGCACAGTTGCTTAGGACTGTGAAAAAGGCCACGCAAGCTATCTTCATAATCAATAGGAAACATTACAACTGTCCTCTGATCTTTCAAAAACATTACAACTGTCCTCTGATCTTTCAAAATTTTTGTCAAAACAATCAAATACTCTTATTATAAGGTATACATGTATAGAGAAATTTTTAAATAGTAAAGCTAGTATTTACTTACCCTGAAACTTGAAACATTAGCAACACTGAGAACTAAGTGTTTTTATTTCTCTGCAAAAAGCTTATCAGGAGTAATCTAAGCAGTGCTTGCCTCCTTTTCATAACATAACTTGCAATACAGAACAAACATCTTTTCTATGCCTTGGGGAAATATACTCCTTTCTAAGTTTGGATCAGCTACCACCATTTTATCTTTTGCACTTTTAAGAAATGTCATGAGATGCCCCAGAGTTTCTTCAGTGTAAAGTTTTTTGCTGACATCACTTCCTCTGGTACTCTTCATCTTTTTTGTCACTACCACTTTGCTCATCAATGTTGGTAAATTCACTGTCACTAAGAAATCTGGCTGCACATTTAAAGCCTGTCTAACAGTGTCAGCATTCCTACAACCAGCTGTTTCTTCTATAATTCCATTTACATTTGATTTGACTTTCACTTTCAGCATTATTACTTTTCACTCCCTTGCAGCACTTTCACCTCTGGTGGACTAATTTCTCGCTTAATATACTGTGGTGACTGGAATCTGAACTGTGGTGTTGAATGGTAACTGAAATCCATGCCTAACGGAAGCGTGCAAAAGGAATACTAGCTGAATACATATATGGACACACACATACATACTTATATCTGTGTGTGGTAAAAGTGAAGAATACTTTTCTCTGGGGAAAGAGGGAATGAAATGTGAAGAGTGGAATTTCAAATGTATCTACTATTTTCTTTAAAAAATAAAGGTTGAATATGAAGTTAAATCTGGGTATTAGTATATACATATTTCTATTTGTACTTTTCTTTCTGTATGAATTTTCATAATTTTAAGAAATGAGGCAGATTTAAAAAAAAAAAAACCAACAGCATACAGTGGGACAACAATGTAGAACAAAACACAAATTAATAAAAAGAGACCAGGTTCACTGGTCTGACAGTGCCTGGTGATACCCCTCCTAGACTATGGACCCTAGTCACCCTTCAGGTCTGGAACTGAACTCACTCCCATGGCTTCTAGCCAAACAACAAATAGGTATAGAGTGTGAACATTTACATCAAATAGGTACACTCCTTAGAACGATCAATCATGGGAAAACAGAAGGACAGTATTCACTTAGGGAGACAGCTCAGGGGGCAGGAATGCATAGGGAAGGACACAGGGAAGAGGTAACTACAGGGAGGAAGTGGGAAGAGAATTGTTACAATGTGGGGAATTTCAGTCAATGTCATGAAACAAAACGTGTATGAGCTGCTGTATGGAAAATGAATTTGCTCTGTAAATCTTCACCCAAATCCTAATAAAAAAAAAAAAAAAAAAAAAAACACACACACACCACGAGTAATAAAATACATGAGTGATATTTTTAGAAATATATTTTATGGCTAGAAACCAAAAGTAAAAGCTTAAAGTGTGCTGTTACTATGATAAAGGTGACTAAGAGGTTAAAATTACCCAGAAGTAGCTTAGCACAGCTGCCTTTTAAAACCAGCCCTATTTGCTCGCCAGACAATAGCTACCTATTTCCCAACCCAGCTTTATGGGTTACTTTACTATTTTGGCTTAAAAGAAAATCATCCAGCTTTCTTTGCATTTGCTCTCCCTACAAGGTACCGCTTTGGGTTCTGCAATTAGCAATAGCTTCCAGTTCTTACCTGAATATCAGTTAAATGCAACATTGTCTTCTTATAAGAAAGGATATCAAAATCTGTTGCTTTCCAGATTACATGATTGAAAAATTCACCTATTTTTGTCTTTTTGGTAATGACAATAAGATAGTTACCTGCAAAAAGGAGAGTCCAATACACATAAATATAAAAAAGACAACTCTCATGGCATAAGTAGCAATCCTTACTATTTAAACTTCAAAGGCTATTAATCGAATGAGGCTGCACTGTGCTGCACGGACAAAGGGCCATGCTTTTTCATTCTGATAATCTTATATTTATGAATAGACAGATGAAACATTATTTAGAAAAACTCTTATTGAAAGATCAAAGTTTTCCACAAAAAAAATAGAAGCAAAAGCTGCTGATAACCAAAGTAGTCACCTTAGCAAATGAAAAGTAGAGACAGAACATACTTACTTTCTCTGGCCCCAAGACGTACTCAACTCACTGTAGAATAATGTACCAGTATGTACATTAGGAGCTCTGGTGGCATAGTGCCTAAGGCATCTGCTACTAACCAGAAGGCTGGTGGTTCAAACCCACCAGTCACTCCTTGGAAGGAAGACTGGGCAATCTACTTCCGTAGTAATACCGCCTTGGAAACCCAAGGAGGGGTTGCTATGAGTTGAATCAATTCGATAGCAGCCAATTAGTATACACACTAAAGCATCAGAGGTCTGAAGATCGGATCACTGCCCCATCTACACCATTCCTATGTCCTTCTGGTCATTCTAAATGTTAGAGAAATGTGCTGGGGCAGTATATGTAAGTGGTCACTGCAGTATTACAAGGATGAGTAGCTAGGAATGAAGGAGCCACCACAGTACCATAGCACATCACATAATCGGCCAACCCTGATCCTAGCCACTTCCTTGCCCCTGGAAATAAAACAGGGTGACCCACTTCAATTAACTCAGTTCTTGAGCTCTGATCAATACTCCATACACAAGCACCCTGCCCAGAAGCTTTCCTGTGTACTTCTCTTCCAGAACTTGTACACTGTACCATGTTGTTGTTGTTATTTGCCATCGAGTCGGGTACCATAGTGACTTATTATTTATATGCCTCTCTCACTAGACATTGAACTACAGGGTAGAAGGCCTGTACCTTTACACTCTGGCATCTAGCAGGGTCTGACTTAACCCAGAAATTGACTGACTGAAGCATGATACGAAGCATGCCTCCATCTTGTACTCTAATACTGTCAATCTCATTACCTTCTTTGCCCATCTTACCTTATTTTGTCTTACCTGCCACCAGATGGATTGTGCCCAATATACCAAATATTGGTCTTGTGACAGCTGAAGGAGGAACATCTTTCTTGACTTAAAAAACAAAAACAGAAAGAAAGATCACATAAGAAAAAGCTCTCAAAGAAATGGAAATTTAGTTTGATTTCATAGTTAGTTCAATTAAATCAATCTGTATGATTTGTTCTAGGAAAGCAATATTCCCTCATTAGTGCGAGACCTCCATTCTGGCAGAACAGAAACTAAGAGTCCAAATGATGCATAAAGAAAGGCCTATGGAAAAGTTTATATATGGAAGGAAAGTTTCTTTTTTGGTTACTAGGGGTGGGAGGGAGCACTGGGGGAAAAAAAACGCACTGACCCGTATCATTTTAGTTTTGTGTATTTCACTGTACATAAATTATATTTCAATAAAATGTATTAATAAAAATAATAAAGGCCTTGCCTATTAAGAGTAAGGGGCCAACATACATTACTGCATTGTCAGTGATGGCAAACATTGATCTACAGGTGGATAGATGGTGGACAGGCTGAATTATTAGATATGTCTATGCAGGGAGGAGTATGCCCGTGACCATACAGGGTTGGAAGACATTATTTCTACAAGTGTATCTATGTGTTCTGTAAGAATTTCCAGGTATATAGTACAGCTGACAAGAGACAAGGTTGTAGTCACTTCTTGGCCATAGCCAGCTACCCAGAGGGAGCAAGTAGTTGGACCTGTGGGCTCGAGACCATGGTTGCAGGGGACATAAGCTCAATTGGCATAACATACTACACAAAACCATTGTTCCACATCATACTTCAGCAAGTAGCAACTGGGCTCTTAAAAGCTTGCAAGCTGCCATCTAGATGCAACGATGGGTCTCTCCTCGCCCAGAGCAAAAAAGAATGAAGAAATCGAGAGATTCATGGAAATAATTAGTCAAAGTGACTGGTACACCATGCAATCCTCAGCCTACACGACTATGAGACCAGAAGAACTAGATGGTGCACAGCTACCACTGTCAACCACCCGAAGGGGGATCTCTGTAGGGGATCCTGGAGAATAATGTGAAACAAAACTCAAAATCATTAAAAAAAAAAAAAAAAGAAAGAAAGAAAGGACCAGGTTTGCTAGTCTTATAGAGCCTGGTGGAACCCCTGAGACTATGGCCCCTAGCTGCCCTTCAGGTCTGGAACTGCACCCACTCCTGTGGCTTCCAGCCAAACAAAAGACAGGCATATGAGCTGAACATTTACATTAGGTAGATACACTCCCTTGGAGAGATCAATCATGGGAGAACAGAAGGGCTGTGTATGCACAAGGAGACAGCTCAGGGGGCAGGAATGCATGGAGGGAAGGACACAGGGAGTTGCTGCATTGTGGGAGATTGCTGTCAATGTTATGAGACAAAGTATATGTGCTGTATGGAAGATGAGTTTGCTTTGTAAACTTTCACCCAAATTACAATAAAACTAAAACTAAAAAAAAAAAAAAGAGTATGGCCCCAAAAGTAACAAGCCTCAGTAACCTCACAGGTCAATTTGGGGGACAGTTTTTAATGTTACTTTAAAAACACTTACTCAACCTCTTGCCAGAAACTAAGCACCCATCCCTTTAAAAGAACTAGAAATTAAGTTAGAAAGTGTGGATTTGCGACAAGATTTTAATCTCAACCTGCAACTAATGGAATGCAAAAAAACGATGATGATTTGCCCAGCCGTGTGTAAGAATGTGGGAAAGGAGGCAAAGAATCACGGAAGAAGGAGGGAAAAGCTTCCTCTTTATGTCTAACAGCAAATTTAACACAAGCAAGCAGGGAAGCATATCACGTAGCAGTTTTATCAATAACATCCCTAATAAAATAGTATCTTAGATCACAGGGTTCATTTCACACGTCATACTATAAGCCAATGGGTTTTGCAAAGTTTATTTTGTAGAACTTTAAAGAATAATGCCCAAAAAAGGGGGGGGGGGTCATGAGGCTCCACAGTCAATTAAACTTATTTTACTACATCCCATTACCTCTACTCCCCCTCTCAGAGGGTCATGATGCACTTTAGAAAAAAGGCTTTGAGAAGGCCTACAGTAAAGGAAAGCTGTCCCACTGCTTAATCCAAAGTTTCCCAAATTTACATGGCTACAGAATTTCTCCTTCCGTTACAGTATATCATCATACTAGAACCCATTTTGGAAACACTGCTGTAAATCCAAATTCTGGTTCTTAAAGGTATTTGTAACAATGTTGTTGTGTGCTATCAAGTCAATTCAACTCAAAGCAACCCAACAGAATAGCAAACAACTGCCCTATAGGATACAGACTGTTAGATCTTTTCTTCTGCAGAGCAGCTGGTGGATTCAAATCACTGACTGTCCAGTTAGCAGCCGACTGCTTAACCACTGTGTAACCAGGGCTCCTTTCCAAAACAATGCTGTGGTCGTTAGGTGCCACTGAGTTGGCTCTGACCCACAGTAACCCTATACACAACAGGATGAAACACTGCTCAATTATGCGCCTACCTCACCATCCTTGCTACATTTGAGCCTATCATTGTAGCTACTGTGTTGATCCATCATGTTGAGGGCCTTCCCCTTCTTTGATGATCCTCCACTTTACCAAGCTTGATGTCCTTCTGCAAGGAATGGTCCCTTCTGACCACATGACCAAAGTAAGTGAGATGAAATCTGGCCATTCTCATTTCCAAGGAGCATTCCAGCTGCACTTCTTCCAGGACAGATTTGTTCATTCTTCTGGCAGTCCATGGTATTTTCAGTATTCTTCGCCAACACCACAATTCAAAGGCATCAACTCTTCTTTGGTCTTCCTTATTCACTGTCCAGCTTTCACATGCATATGAGATGATTGAAAATACCATGACTTAGGTTAGTTACACCTTAGTCTTCAAAGAGACATCTTTGCTCTTCAGCACTTGAAACAGGTCTTTTGCAGCAAATTTACCCAGTGCAATACAACCACTGCTTCCTCAGTGTTGACTGAGGATTCAAGTAACATGAAATCTTTGACAATTCCAATCCTTTCTCCATTTATCATGATGCTGCTTATTGGCAGCTGTGAGGATTTTTGTTTTCTTTATGCTGAGGTGTTATCCATACTGCAGACTGTAATGTTTTACCTTCTTCAGTAAGTGCTTCAAGTCATCTTCACTTTCAGCAAGCAAGGTTATATCATCTGTATATTGCAGGTTGTTAATGAGCTTTCCTCCAATCCTGATGCCATGTTCTTCTTCATACAGTCCAGCTTCTCAGATTATTTGCTCAGCATACAGATTGAATAAGTATACTAAAATTCAGTCTTTTTCTCTCAATAATTCAGTTTGCTTAACTATGCTATGCCATTAACTAACACGAAAAATGGCAAGCTTTGTGCAGTGAAAATCTCAGGAAAAATCCTGAAGATACTAAGATCATTTGATAAACTTAAATGCACTACTGACAGTGCTGTCAGTTACATTAACTAGAGTATAACAGCAATAAAACTATGGTAGTTCCTAAGCATGGTGTTACTTTTTCACAGAGGAAGAAAAAAAAAAAAAAGAAAGAGTCCCTCTCTCCATGACCACAGTCTGTATTTCTAATAGTAAAAAGAAACTGGCTGAGAAACTGAGGGAGTAAGTTTCTGGTCAAAGTATGCCTAGCACGTATCTACTGATGGCTACTTAGCATAAGCATCGTCACATCCAAATAATCTGTGACTTTTAGCTTTTCAACCCATTGAACTGAGTTTGCAATCTCTAGTTATAAGTAAAATGTCACTAAAAAGTGAAAAATAACAGACACTGGGTTGTATTAATATGGTATAAAGTGCAGTGTGATAAAACTTTAGGAGGAGTGTACTAACATTGGTTAAAACCAATAAGCTATCAGGAGAAAACAGCAGCCAAGCAACAGATAAGGGGGAAATACCAAATTATCAAACCAAAACAGAGCTCTCACTCCATTTAGTCAAATAAAAATTATGGATGGTAGTAGAATAACAAGATAACCATGAAAAGAGAACTTTTACAGCTATAATCTTTCTTACACTTTACTATCCATGCAATGTATTTTCATGTTTCACTTTATCCATGCAAAGGTTAGTTACTGAATACCTATTCTATGGTTACTCAAATATTTTACTTACAAGAAAACAAATACACAACTGTCTGCAGTGAACTGGAATTTATATACATATGAAATTCTGAATGTGGTATCAAAATGGTACACTTTGTTACCAAAATTATTTCATATCAATCTATTTAGAAATCAGTGTTCCACACAACTGAAAAACAATTGTTTTTCATGTCCGAGAAAAAGAGCAAAAAGAGCAAAACCAAAATTTGTAACTGGAAGAGTAAATAAAGCTTAGGAACATCATTTGCCCAGAACTCTTACAAGGTTTAATCAGTATATTTTACTTTTCATTTATTAGATTATCCTCACCATCATTAATATTTTCGAAACAAAAGCAGCTATTAAAAAAGTGCCACACATTTAGTGAACACCCTCAAATACCTTAAAGCTCAGAGCTATTAGACAGTAATAAGCCCAATCCTGCCAGAGGGCAGGTAAAGGAACAAATAAAGAAATAGGCTTCCTAAAATTTTCAATATCGTTTCTCCTTTTGATAAAAAAGTAGACAGCATAAAATGAATGTATAATGCTAATCAGAAGGTTGGTGGTTCAAACCCACTAGCCCCTCCTCGGAAGGAATCTACTTCCATAGCGATACCTCCTCGGAAACCCAAGGAGGGGTCGCTATGAGTCAGGTATGACTCGACGGCACATAACAACAACAACATACCGTAAGTGAGGCGGCAAGAATTAAAATTTTATAAGAAGGCACACAAGAGAGCCACACAGTGACACAGCCCTGAGTTATTTATCTTAATTATTGCAACTTATGGATGAAGTCTTTCTCAGACTTCCAAATCTGACTACGACATACCTGAGAGGGTAACCTCTGTGGACACACGGTCGATGGTAAGTACATCATCTGCTCCATCATCACAAGCTTCCACATAAAACTTTTCAGGTGTGATGTGCCTGAGAAGAAATTTTAAACCATAAAAAATTAAACCAAATTGAATGAAGACTTCTAAAATAATGACTTATTGTAATAACAATAGAGTTTAAATTAGACATCATTTTCCCAGCCTCTGAAAAGATAGAGGTTAAGTGTTGCCCCTGTGAGCTCACTGCAACTCTTCTCACTTGCATATTTAATATGGATGAAGTTTTAATTTACTGAAAAACTATCAATTTGACTTAAAAGAAAAGTCATAAACAAACGTAAATTATTATATTCAACATGATGCACTGTAAATAGAACAGTCCTAGTATTCAACTGCCTGTTCATTGTGACCTCAGACAAGTTACTCATCCTTTCTGCCCCTCAGTTTCCTTATTCATAAATTAAAGCTAATACTAGACTTACCGCTTAGAATTGTTGTGAGGATTAAATAAACTAATCTTTGACAAGCACTCAAAATAATGCCTGAAACATAGTAAGGAAGATACCAGTATTAGCCAAAAATACTAAAAATCGTTTTTATAAAATATTTCCAATAAATTGCTCAAAATAAATTAACAGTCAGGTGCGTTTTGTTAAAATGACACATATCTGTTCCTGAAAACTCTCATTCTGCAAAATGAATAAATACAGGGGGTTTAAAAAAAAGCTTAGACTATTTAAAATATGCAACTTTGTTACTTGAGTCTAATAAAAGAAATGGTTCCTCCTTGAATAGATCAGGCAAACAACTCAAGAGTGAGTAGGCACTGCCTCAGGAAATATTAAAAATTAACAGAAACGATAACACAAGCACACACACTTGCAGAGATGATAGTCGACTGAAGATGGGCTCTAAGCCATCAGCTAAGGCGGTAGTTAGGAGGGCATGGGAGGAGGTGCTGCTCTCCAGATCCGAACAAGGTTTGGGAAGGGAGCTGCTGGGTGAAGGAACTACCTCCCCCATAAAACTAATTTTTAATGTTCTTAAAGTAGACTTGAAAGAATTTCTGTGTAGTAACCAATCTGAGGATTTTTTCCTTTCCATTTTAATTCTATTTCCATTATTCTCACTTCCCTTGCCTATGAAAAATCTTACATGATCCCATACAACTATCACTGGCATCATTTCCTATTTACCAATTATGTATAAGCTATTTGGAAGGCTTCTAGTGGCCAAGGACCTAAGGCATCTGACTGCTAACCAGACGGCTGGTGGTTCAAACTCACCAGCTACTCCTTAGAAGAAGACTGGGCAGTCTACTTCTGTAAAGACTTACTGCTTCGGAAACCCCAAGGGGGTCACTATGAGTTGGAATCAACTCGATGGCAGTGAGTTTGGTTTTTATAAACTATTTGGAGTTACAGAAACATATCCTGTAGAACAGACAATATTGGCCATTTTTTACTAAATTATCTGAGACATAATCAATTCTTAAATATCCAAATATAATGCATATCCATTTGTGATTCATCTGTGACTGACTTCGTAATATAAGGCTAGTTTCCTACATTTTGGGGGCTATGCTCAGGGAATAAAAATTAGTGTTAAACAAAACAAGCAAAAGTCAACAAAGAGGGCAAACCTGCTTCAAATATGACAGTCATAAGTTCAAAACTAAATAGTTCACTCCTATTACTGAGTTATATTCCATTGTATTGTATACATCAATTTGTTAATCCATTCACTTCTTGATGAACATCTGGGTGGTTTCTAGTTTGGGGCTACTATGAATAAAGGTTCTTACACATTCCTGTACAAGTCTTGAAGCAGGTAAGCATAACCACTCATTTCTCTTGGGTAACTATCAGGGAGTAGAATGGCTAGATCAGGTAACACGTACACGTTAAACTTCTGCAGGGAAGGATAAGCAAAGGATTACAAACAAGCACAAGGAAAGTTTTAGGAGTGATGGATGTGTTGTTCACTGTCTTGCTTCTGGTGACAGTTTCAAGGGTGCCAAAATTTACCAAGTTGGATACCTTACGTATGTGCCGTTTACTAAATGTCAATTATCTATCAACAGGGCTATCAAAAAGAAAGAAAGAAAGAAAAGAAAATGAGAAGTTCTGAAACAAAACATGAAGAACTTCCAGACAATTTACTCATTATAGGGTAGTGACCTCTACTCATTAAAAACAAGCCCACAAAAACCAACATTTCAGTTCACAGCTGCAGAAGACGTTCTGTCTGCACAAGCACAAACAATACTCCAAGAGCAAGTCAGAATTTACTGGAAAGCTACCATGTGCTAAATATTACACAACACTAGCGAAAGGAGTCAAGTGACTCAAGAACAAATAGGAAAAATACCTTCCCAAATTGTTTTTAAAATAAAAAAGCAGACCTGAAATAAAAGAGATGTCTTTCAAAGTGTACGTGAGCTGCTGTATGGAAAGTGAATTTGCTTTGTAACCTTTCACCCAAATCACAATTTAAGAGAGAGAGAGACCAAAGGGATGTCTTTATAAAGGCTTTTGAAAAAAGTGCTCTCTCTAAATCAGATAACAGTTTCATAAGCCTCCCTCCCCACTCTGGGCCACCCAATCTTTCAAATGTTGGGCAAGTGCCTGTGCAGCAGGCAATGGCCTAGAGCCGCATGAAATGCTTTCACACTGGGCTGGTGTTCTCACTGAACATTTTTGTCCCACCCAGTGTCCTATAAAATGCCATGACTTCTTTTTAGAATAATAAATAATAACAAATAATAAATAACAAAGAATCCAAGAATATTCAGCCTTCCCTCTGGTGGTACAGTGCCTAAGGCATCTGACTGCTAACCAGAAGGCTGGCAGTTCAAACCCACCAGCTACTCCTCGGAAGGAAGGCTGGGCAATCTACTTCTGTAGAGATACCGCCTCGGAAACCCAAGGAGGGGTCACTATGAGTCTGGATCAACTCAACAGCTGTGAGCTTAGAGTTTATCTGATCTTTAAAAGACTGGTCAAGCACTGCTTAGTCCATTACCAACACTGCTGCAGTGTTAAGTGTACCAATAAGGTTTGTTCTGGTTTCAGTAACGCCAAAGTGCACCATAGTAAATTACTTGATATGGCTTTTCTAGCCATAAGTCTTCGTAAACTCCATGGTGGAATTTGCTGTGAGAAACTGAGTAGCTCCTGATTGTTAAAATCATCCACCTGGGGTATTTCTGTTGGTAGCAGCACAAAGTAATGTTCTGAGAAGTTCGCTCTCTCTCACGTGCTTAGAATTCTGATGTTATGATTGGTTAGTTTGGCCACTCTGCGAGGCTTAAAAGGAGTCCTCCTAGAGGCACAAGTCTCTCCGTGACTGCTGGCTGGGAAGGATGTGCTGCTGAAAGAGACACACGCTATTGAGAGACACGCGCTGCTGGGAAAGAGACCCGAGAGACACGGAGGGCTGAGAGACTGAGCATTTTTCCTGAACTTGAATTGTAGCCTGGTGCTTCCCTAATAAACCCCATAATCTGTGAGTTCTGTGTGACCACTGCAGAGAATTATCCAACCCAGCAGAAAGGTGGTGAGTGCTGTGGGAGGAATGGTTGGTATCAGGGTTGGTGAAAGGGCTGGAGGGAGGCAGCATGTCTGGCCTTGCAGGAATAGGCCTTGGGCTACTGATGGTGATTCTGTCTTCCTTTTGTGTGGTTAGAGGAAGTCAGAAGATGTGGCCTCCTTGCCTTTTTAGCACAAAGCAACCGCCCACAATCACTCAACAAATACACACAGGCATGTACACTCTACTTATACACAAAATAAAAACTCAACCCCCACATAACTGATCATAAGCCTCTAATCAAAACTACCTCAGCACGTTATAAGAGCACTGCATTAGTAGTAGCTACACTGGAAAAAAAATCTGTGGATTTGCAATAAAATATATAGGAGTTCTAATCCTGACTTTGCTGTTTACTAGCTATGTTACTAGTCTGACTTATGAATATCTATCCTGTGCCAGGCCTTGTTCTAGACATTAGTGGTGCAAATTCCCATGATCACAGTGTGTATTTTTTTTAACATTTTATTGTAGTTTGGTGAAAGTTTACAAAGCTAATTAATTTTTCATCCAGTAATTTATACGCATTTTGTTTTGTGACATTGGTTGCAATCCCCTCAATTTAACAGCACTCTTCCCACTTCCTCTCTGTGTTTACCATTTCCGTTTGTCTTTTTTTCCTTCCCCTTACTGCTTTCTAAGCTTTGTTTTTTGGTTAAATGCTGCCCTTTTGGTCACATATAGTTGATTGAAGTGTAATCCATACTGCAGACTATAGTCTTTAATCTTCACCAGCCAGTGCTTCAAGCTATCCTCACTTTCAGCAAGCAAAGTTGTGTCATCTGCTTATCACAGGTTATTAATGAGTCTTCCTCCAATCCTGATACCACGTTCTTCTTCATATAATCCAGTTTCTCAGATTATCTGCATACAAGGTGAATAACTATTGTGAAAAGATACTTGATGCACTCCCTTCTTGATTTTGAACCATGCAGTATACCCTTATTCTGTTCAAACGACAGCCTCCTGATCTATGTACAGGTTCCTCATGAGCACCACAGAGTGTTCTGGAATTCTCATTCTTCTCAATGTTACCCATAATTTGTTAAGATCCACACAATCAAATGCTTTTGCATAGTCAATAAAACATAAGTAAACATCTTTCTGGTATTCTCTGCTTTCAGCCAAGATCCATCTGACATCAGCAATGATATCCCTCATTCCACGTCCTCCTCTGAATCCAGCTTGCATTTCTGGAAGCTCTCTGTCAATATAGTGCTGCAATCATTTTTGAATTATCTTCAGTAAAATTTTGCTTTCATGCAATATTAATGATATTGTTCAATAATTTCGACATTCTGTGGGATCACTTCTCTTCGGAATGGGTACGAATATGTGTCTCTTCCAGTCAGTTGGCCACGTAGCTGTCTTCCAAATATCTTGGCATAACCGAGTGAATGCCTCTAGCAGGGCATCTGTTTGTTGAAACATCTCAACAGGTATCCTGTCAATTCCTGGAGCCTTGTTCTTCGCCAATTCCTTCAGTGCTCCTTTGACTTC